AGGCTCAGTCTAAGGGTACAGCCTAAGGGCGTACACCCAACAGATAAACAAAAAACAAAATTGAATGCATCAGACACACTCTGAAGGACGTATGGTGTAGTAGTGAGTTACCCTGCCAAGAGAGGAACATCTCATTCCATTATTATCTTCTCTAGATGACACTGGCATGCTGGGAGCTCACTCACTTTAATGGGAGATCCTGGGGACCCCGACCAAGGACTTTCTGTATCCATGTGCTCTACCATTGACCCACAGTCCCTCCAATAATGCAGAGGATATCATAGAATTATAGATTTGGAAGGGAACTCCAGGGTCATCTAGTCCAATCCCCTGCACAATGCAGGAAATTCACAAATACCTCCCCACACACACACACACCCAGTGACCCTTGCTCCATGTCCAGAAGATGGCAAAAACCATCCAGGATCCCTGGCCAAACTGGCCTGGAGAAAAATTGCTTCCTGACCCCAAAGTGGCAATCAGCATTTCCCTGGGAGTGTAAGAAAGGGCCACAAGAACTAAGCACTGAGGCAACCCTTCCCGCCCTCCCTCTCATGATCTGCCTAAGTTCACAGAATCATAGAATGTTAGAGTTGGAAGGGACCTTGCAGGTCATCTAGTCCAACCTCCTCCACTCTGCAGGAGCACAGCCGAAAGATAGCCCTACAACATACCCGAAAGATGGTTGTCCAGCCTCCACTTGAAAACGTCCAGTGAAGGAACATCCACCACCTCCCAAGGTAGTCTGTTCTACTGCTCAACCACTCTTACAGCTAGGAAGTTTCTCCTGATATTTAGCCGGTAATGACTCCCTTGTAATTTCCACCCATTAGATCTTGTCTTGCAATCCAGAGCAAGAGAGAATAGATCCGCTCCATCTTCTACATGACAGGCCTTCAAATACTTGAAGACTGCAATCATGTCCTCTCTAAGCCTTCTCTTTCCCAGGCTAAACATACCCAACTCTTTCAGCCTTTCCTCATAAGATTTGGATTCCAACCCTCTCACCATCCTGATTGCCCTTTTCTGGACACGCCCGAGCTTGTCAACATCCTTCCTAACATGTGGTGCCCAAAACTCTAACAGTCAGGAAATTCCTCCTAATGTTTAGCCGAAAACTCTTGATTTAATTTCAACCCGTTGGTCCTGGTCCGATCTTCTGGGGCAACAGAAAACTCCAGAGAATATCCTTAGTACAGGGTGCATGAAACTATTTAGGACCCCCCGAGGTTAAGTGCTTAGAGTGCCAATTTAGGGCCAAGGTGACTCTTGTTCAAATCCAACCAAGAATTGAAGTTCATCTGGTCCCCAGCTAGTCTCTTTCTCCCAGCTTAACGTATCTCACAGGATAGTTTTAGGTAAGTAGCCTTGTTGGTCTGCGGTAGAAGAGCAAGATTTGAGACCTGTGGCACCTTAAATACCAACAGGAGTTAAATACCAACAAGGAGTTTTCAAGAGTCAAAGCTCCCTTTGTCAGACATAAGTAGGAAAGGAGATCTCTGAGCCTCTATAGCCTGGAAATCATGTTGGCATTTAAGGTGCTCCTGGACTTGAATATCTTATATGATTGTTGTGAAAGTAGAATTGGGAACGTGAGATACCCTGAGCTCCCTGGAGGGAGTTAAAAAGGTAACAGAAAATGCATGAAGTTGCTTTATATTGAGTCAGATCATAGGTCCACCTAACTCAGTATCATCTACTCCGCTGAGCTGGACAAAGGAATTCCTCAAAACTGCTACAAGAGATCTTTTAATTGGATTTTCCGAGTGATCATCTCCATACAAGACACGGGCTCTACCACTGAACTATCGTATAAGCTACAGTCAAGTCCCATAATATTTTTTTAAAAGAACCTTTGTGTGTAAAAAAAAATAATTATGCTGGTCGTCTTACATTCAGGGCTACCTTCTTTTCAAGGACATATGGTATTATTTATTTATTATTGCACTTCCCTCCTACCACGGGATGCATGGAACCATACACAGGGTTCCCAGAACTCCCATTCTGGGCATCCCAGATCTGCTTAGCTTCAGGACCTTTGCTTTGTCATATGCCTTCAGACTAGGCTTGCCAAGTCCCCCCGGGGGGCGGGGAAACCCCCACCCCAGAGGCCTGTTCCCCGCCGCTGGCGGATCGGGCCCCGGGGGGGAACCCCACCCCCAAAGTACATGACGTGCACGTCACCCGGAAGTGACGCGACCACGCCGGGCACGCTAGGGGCAGGGCCATGGTCATCCAAGGGAAAACATTATGGTTTTCCCTCAGATGGTCATGGCCCCGCCCCCAGCGTGCCCGGCGTGGTCACGTCACTTCTGGGTGACGGGGTTGTGGCGCGTGCACGCGCTCCATGAACAAGCCGGGAGCCCCCCACTCCAGCAGCAGGTAAGACTTGGCAACCCTACTTCAGACCATACCCCCAGGCCGAACCTTGGCCCTCTGTTCCCAGTGCCCAGGTTTCGTTGTAGCGGATGCCCCTTTTTTGTAGCAATTTGTTCTTCCAATAGGTCCTTTATAGCCAGAATCTTTTATTTTACACGTCTGTTCAAATGGAGATTTTATCAAGGTTTTTTTTTCCCCAAAAATTGCAGCATGCACTCACCAAATGATATGTTTGCCATGACAGATCCACCTCTGCCCTGGATTCCAACCCACACACGCTTATCGAATATCCTCCTGAATGTTCCTGATGATGGCGCCCAACAATCCACTTCTAGCAAATTATTCCCTTGTCTAAACTGTGTCTGTATTGGATGAAGTGTATGGAGGTCGGGCCCAAATTGCCTATTATTTCCTCTCCCATATTTTATGCACAGTTATCAGTCACTTTTCCAGTTGCCTTTTCCGTAAGCCCCGTGTATTAAGTTTCCTTAATCTCCCTCTACAGGTCGTGGCCTCCAATCCTTTAATCATCTTTGTTGCCCTCCATTGGATTCTCTTTAATTTATCAGTGTCTTTTCTTTAATGAAAGACACAGAGAAAGGAATGTAACAGCCTTGTACTGAAGCAAGAATGTCTGCTCTGAGAGGGAGAAAGTGAAGGGAGGGAGAAAGAGAATCTTGATTGTGTGTGTGTGGGGGGGATGAATGAAAAAGTGTCAGCGGGTATGAAATGTGACTGCAAAATGTGCAACTTTTATACCTTATGTACAACATTTATACATACAATGTATGCTTTTGATGCATAACCGTGTAATGTACAGGTTGATTTACTGACTCACAAATAACATTGAAAATGTGCAGATATTGTAGGAAACATTTGGTGCTAAGAGGCCGAGGATGGTACAAAAAAGAGGGGTGTGTGTCATGGGTTCAGTTTGCACAAGGGGGGGGGGCAACTCAGTGGTGTCCCTTCACCTTTGATAGGCCCTCCCCTTTCAGCCTCACCTGTTATCATTCAGGCCACAACATTTCTGATTGCCTGGACTATTTATTGGAGTTTAACCCCACCATTTTAGTGGTCTGCTTTGATTTTATGGGCAACACAGTTGCACTTGGCTGAGCCAGTGTGGTGTAATTGTTTGTCATGGAGATTCCATGTTTGAATCTCAGCTCTGCCTTGGAAGCTTACTGGGCCAGTCACACACTGTCAGCCTAATCTACCTCTTAGGGTTGTTGTGAAGAAAAAATGCAGAACAGGAGAATGCTGGGATATAAATGAAGCCAACACATAAGCAAAAAGTTATGAATTGTGATTTAGATCTGTGTTACTTTTAGACAGCTTGTTTATATGGTTTCTATGCTATTTTAATCTTTGATGCTGTTTTTATGCTGCTTTCACTGGATGGCGATTTTTACGACTGCTTGGTTACTAGGATGGTTTTATTACTAAGGAAGGCCGAGCGCCAAAGAATAGATTCTTTTGAACTATGGTGCTGGAGAAGACTCTTGAGAGTCCCTTGGACTGCAAGAAGATCAAATCAGTCAATCCTAAAAGAAATCAACCCTGACTGTTCCCTGGAAGGCCAGATAATGAAACTGAAGCTCAAATACTTTGGCCACCCAATGAGAAGGGAGCACTCACTGGAGAAGACCCTGATGCTGGGAAAGACTGAAGGTAAAAGAAGAAGGGGATGGCAAAGGATGAGATGGTTAGACAGTGTCATAGATGCAACAAACATGAAACTGAACAAACTTCAGAGGACGGCGGAAGACTGGAAGGCCTGGCGTGATCTGGTCCATGGGGTCGCGAAGAGTCGGACTCGACTGTGCGACTGAACAGCAAAGATTACGATGGGGATAGATACAGCACTGGTTTTTTTAAGTTTTATTCTGTCTGAATTTGGTTTTGCTTTTTTATCATGAGCAGGATTCTAGAGAGGCAGCATTCACATTCCCCCAATAGATAGCTTTGAGGATGCAGAAAAATCATGTCTTGAAAAAGAAGTTTTCTTGAGCCAATCTCAGGTTTCCATATTTAGCTGTCTGGCTATGTTCACCGTAGTGGGTCTTAGTGTCCCTTATGTGTTGTGAGAGGACTTCAATACAAAGGTTTGCAGGTCTGACATCAAGAAAGCTATTCATACAGAAACACAGAGCTGGAAGGTACCCCCAGGGCTATCTAGCCCAACCCCTGCACAATGCAGGAAATCCACAGCTTCTTCCCACTCCCCACTCCTCCAGTGACTCCTGCTCTATGCCCAGAGAAAGGCAAAAGACCTCCAGGATCCCTGGGCCAATATCTGCATGGCATGTCCCTAAAATTTACCATGGGTGGGCCACTCTTCTAGGCTTCAATATCTACATAGCAGTTAACATTCCACAGCATGAAGATAAGCAGGAGATAAGACATCTGCAGCAGACCTCCCCGTCCAGCATGCAACAGTCTACTGCCTGTATAAGTTCCATTTAGCAGCCATGCTTGATAATGAGAGACAGACCCATCTTTCCGTGCACCTTGTGCAAGCACCACCAATCTTGAGTGAGCAATGATAGCAAAGGGTGGGTTTCATCTATAACAGCTGCCCTCGGTACCACCCTCTGTGCTCACTGGAGCCCCCTTACCCTATAGTAATCGGTGCTGTAGACATCTCTGGACATCCCAAAGTCTCCGATCTTCACCAGGAGGTTAGCGCCGACCAAGCAGTTCCTCGTCGCCAGGTCTCTGTGTACAAAATGTTGGGAGGCAAGGTAAACCATTCCCGAGGCGATCTGACTTGCAATGTGAAGCATTTGGGAAAGGCCCAGCTCTCCTTTGGCTTGCCGGGGCTGCCCATCCACCAGGATCATTGCATCTGGTCCATGTGCCCTGTGGAAGAAACACAGCAGAAAAAAAAACTACTCCTGTTGCCCTATGGTGGGGTGGTGGTTGAACCGTGTTTCGAGGTCTGCCTCCACACGTTGCCCCTGTTGTGACAAACCAACACATCAATTGCCAGCTGCACATGAAGAAGAGAGTCTTCAATTTTCTAATGGTCAGATGTAATTTGAGCATTCATCAGCTTTGATTTTTCCCCCCTCCTAGCCACTCTACAAATAGACAGAATGAATATTTGATAAGCTCTGATAAGAGGAGGATTTGTTCTGTTGTTTGATCGGGAGTCCCTCAGTAAGATCATCAGAGAGGGCGGGCAAGCTTGTTCCCTACCCCAGCCCCAGCTAGCAATCCAGAATTGTAGATGGACAGAACAGAAACCAGTGGGGTGTAGTGGTGAGAGCAGGGGTCCTCAATGGGGAGGCCACCGGCACCTTTCCACCAAGTGTTTTTATAAAGTGGATGAGGCCCAATACTGCCAGATGAGTGTTTCTTAGATAGCTCAATGTGTACACTTGTGTGTATAGAAGAAAATATTTTAAACCATGCAAACAGTGATGATGATGACGACGATGATGAATGGGTATAGAATAGCCAGGAGATCCTAAGATTGTCTGGCAGCCACGAGATCTAGCTCTTTTAGTGTTATGCACCACTAGGTGGTGAGCTAGACTTGTTTTTTAAGGCAAGAGACATTTCAGATGTGGTTTGCCATTGCCTGCCTCTGCGTCACGACCCTGGTATTCCGTGGAGGTCGCCCTTCCAAATGCTAGCCAAGGACAACCCTGCTTAGCTTACAAGATCTGACAGGATTGGGCTAGGAAACAAGGAAATAAGCATTTGGGTAGAAATCCATCTGCCTTATCTACACACCACAGAAAGAAGTACTGCCTTTTGTTGGTCTTGAGCAGTTGTACTCCCACTGTGATTTGCAGGGAGCCACACATACAAACATGACTACTGTATGCCCTGTGCAACACCTAGGGGTGTTCCCAGGTCCCACTGCCCACTACCCTTTGGAGTAGTGGCACTTTTTTTTAAAATGCAGCCTCATATACTTACTGGAAGTGACAAAGGGTAGATGTAGGAATCCACAGAAATGGGTTTTATCATACAGTTTCTGTGATTCCTAGAGCTATCCTAAGTCACTTCTGGAAAGAATTTTGGTAAGTAGGATGCATTTCCAGCCCTATTTTGGCCTTTGAGGGAGATCTCTTTGGGGCCAGGCCTGGCTAGAGTTGCCAGCTCCAGGCTGGGAAATTCCTGGAGATTTTGTGATGAGGAGTGCAGGGTATGATGCCACAGAGTCTGCCCTCCAAAGCAGCCATTTTCTCCAGGGGGACAGACGTCTGGAGTTCACTTGTAATTCTGTAATTCTGGGGGATCTCCAAGTCCCACCTGGAGGCTGGCAATCTGAGGCCTGGCAGCAACTGGTTCTGGGTGACTTGATGCCACCTGACTTGCATGACTCTCAAGTAGGCCTGGCTGCTTGCTATTCAACAGCAGCCACCTTATGAATGCCAGTGTGGTGTAGCGGTTAGAATTTCAGATTAGGGTCTGCAAGACCCAGGTTCAGATCCCCATCTTGCTGTGGAAGCTGACTTGGGTGATTTTGGACCATTTATATACTTTCAGCCTAACCTACCTCACGGGGTTGTTGTGTGGATAAAAAGGAGGAGAAGAGAATAACATAAGCTGCTTTGGTCCCCACTGTGGAGAAAGGTGAGGTATAAATAAAGTAAATAAATAATACATATAGCTGAAGATGGGGGCAGATAAAAGGCAGGTTGGTGAATGGCAGAGAAGGAAAGATTTAGGAAAGGGAGAGGATATGGGGAATGCCAAGGGGAGGGGAAGAGGTTAGGAAATTCCTAGAATTTTTTTTTTGGGGGGGAGCATGGGGAGGGTGGGGTTTGAGAAAGGGAGGGACCTCAGAGGGGTATAATGCCATAGACTCCATCCTCCAAAGCAGCCATTTCCTCCATGGAAAGGAAGATTGCCAACCTCCAGGTGGAAGCTGGAGGTCACCCAGAAATACAACTGCTTTCCAGGTGCCAGAGATCAGTTCCCCTAGAGAAAATGGCTGCTTTGGAGGATGGACATTATGGCATTATACCATGCTGAGGTTGCTTCCCTCCCCAAACCTCACCTTCCCAAGGCTCCACCCCCAAATCTCCAGGGATTTCCCAACTTTTATCTGGCAAACCTAAGGTGAATTTATCTCTGTAGCTGGGAGTCTGTTGTGATTCCAGAAGATCTCCAGCTCCCATCCAGAGGCTGGCAACTGTAGAAGGAGAGAAGGAAGCTGTTTGGTCCTGTTTTAATGTGGTTCAACGTTTTCAACCTAAATATATTGAATTATTGGTCCTTTTTTATTGGTTCAAGGCTTTTAACCTAGAAAAATTGAAATGTATCAGGTTAAATAGATTCAGGACTTCTTAGTTCAAATATTCACGATTTCAAGGGCGGATTGTGCCAATGTTTTTAATGTATAGTTTTAGTGCACTTTGTAATAAATACATATATTTTGTTTAATTTATTTCTCAATTTTTTTCCCCTCTCATCCAATCTTTGGGAATCCAACTTCGTTGTTTCTTAAGGTTGGGCTTCTCCCCCCTTCTGTTTTGGTTTGCAGCCTTGTAATATATTAGATCCTCGGTCCACCACGGTCAGTATTGCCTGCTCAGACGAGCAGCAGCTCTCTGGGGTGTTACACATCCCCTTTTAACTGGAGATGCCAGGGAGTGATTGAACCTGGCTGGGACCTTCTGCATGCCAAGCAGTGGCTCTTTGCCATCCCCTCACAAGTTATAGGATTTTACAGCCACATTATTTCGACAAACAGAAAACTGACCACAGCAATGCAGAGTTTCTGCCCAGCTCTTCAGCTCAGGGAAAAAAAACCCTGCCCTGTTCCTTGGAGGAGAAGCGTTGATGCTTCTTCCTGACAGACTGTTTCAAATGAGAGTTGCCATTTCCACGTTGGCTTTTTATCATCCAGGACATTGCAATTTACGGAGGGCCTTTTTGTATTCCCTGACGGTGCCACCCTCGAGCCTCGACACCTCTGCGCCACCAGAGAGACTCACGCCACCGGCATGAGAATGGCTGCAGCCGAGCGACGGGATCCTGTGAAGGAAGGTCGACTTCTCTCACACTTAATCCCGGGCCCAGAGAGGATGGTACAAATCAAAACGACTCCTCTGGCCACTGCGGTCACCTTTATTGTTAAAGTGTTTTCGTTGAGAGGTTTGCAGAGGTACAATTTGAAAAGAAAACAACCAATGTGATAAAAAACCCTGTGTTGTTTTTTTTAAAAAAAATATATGATCCTTTTCTGTGGGAAAAGTAAATCCTTTCTATTTTACTTTCCTCCCATTTCAGTCTAAAAGGTGGGTAAGGTAAAGGTTCCTTTGCTTGAAAGCCAGTCGAATCCGACTCTAGAGTTGCGGTGCTCATCTCCGTTTCAAAGCCGAAGAGCCAGCGCTGTCCAAAGACGTTTCCGTGGTCATGTGGCCGGCATGACTCAACACCAAGGCGCACGGAACGCTGTTACCTTCCCACCGAAGTGGTACCTATTTATCTACTTGCAACTTCTTGCTTTCGAACTGCTAGGTTGGCAGGAGCTGGAACTAGAGACGGGAGCTCACTCCGTCATGCAGCACACTCGGATCTCGAACTGCTGAACTACTGACCTTCCACAGCCTGCAGTTCAGCGTCTTAACCACTTGAGCCACCGCAGCTCCTTTTCTAAAAGGTGGGACCATGCAGCTATTTGGCTGTATTCTAGAATCATGCTCCATTCTGAAATATTTCCATCCTGAAAAATAGAATGTTTATGATTCCTCCTAACTAAGCATCTCCTCAATGGGCTCGACTGTCTCTTTAATTAGTTCTCTTTGGCTCAGGGACAGGAGTCTAGTAGATTTGGCCAAACGTCAATCATGTCATTCCATCCTTGTCACTAAGTTTTTAGCGTTTAGGCTTCCATTGTCTTCCACAATCTTCTGACAATCCACTGAATTTCTGCAAACTCGGTGTTCATAGAAGTGTACATAATGAACACTTCATACATGCTTCGTATGTATTTGATACATGGTACAGTCCGTACTTCCAAAATGATAACTGGTATCCAAAGGAAGATCCAACGTAAATTTGTCCATCTGAGTCCAAAACATACCAGTGGAAAATGGGTAAAAATAATATGCATGCGAACACATCAAGCTGCCTTCTGCTGAGTCAGGCCATTGGTCTATCAAGGTCAATATCATCCACTCCAACTGTCAGCAGCTCTCCAGGGTCTCAGGAAGAGATGCCAGGGATTGAACTGGAGATCTTCTGAAAACAAATCAGATGCTCTACCCCTGGGCTGTAGCTCTTCCCAGTTCTATTCTGTTCATGGGCCATATAAATCAGATTGCCATTTGTCAGAGAGAAGTGTGGAATTCAGAAACATCCTTAAATGGCAGTTGCAGAGACCAAGAAGCTGGATATGGTGGGATGATCAAGTTGAGCAGTAGGTGACCCCTCCTTGCCCTGCCCCGTTACTGGGCATCCAGAATGAAGGCACATCTATTTGGGATCATTAACAATTCATCACATTCAGGGATGTAGTTTAGCTAAAAGTCAAGAGTCTGAAAGCACCCCAGATTAACTGACTACATGTAATTATTTTGGGTTCTTGTCCTGTTCCCTTCTCCTCATTTTCATCAGATAATGTGCATCACAGGGAAATATGTGGTCAAGGCAAGGATTTCCTATCCAAAGCAGATACAGGGCAGAAATCAAAGTCGACCTTGACTAGCAAATTTTCTATATGTATGTATGGGACGACCATCAGATACACTGTTCCCCATCTGTCTCCTAGTAAGTGCTGCTGCATCCAATTCTGCTTATCATATAGGTCAGCTGTTACTACAAAGCAAATGTGTTTAGGGTTCTTGACTACCTGATATAACCATTCTTGGGACACTGACGCTAGGCTGTAACAGGGAAAGAACAGAAAAGGGGGAAGCAACTGAGCCCATGAGGGGGCAAAAAGACAGACAGAACACCTCTGTAGAATTCTCATCTTCCACTATGGCTGATCAAGAGAAAGTGGGTAATTGGGTGGAGAGTTTCTCATTTTTGCTGAACAAAAAGAGTAGGGGAAGGCCTGGAAATGGGGCTCCTGAGATGCACATAGAGGCTTTTGTCTGTGGCTTGATTTGAAAACATCTTAGTTGACTATGATATTCTTCCATCAGGTGACAATGCTCATCTTTAAGCGTCCATGCGCCTGCAAACAGCCATGGGTTCCAATACTGAATGGATTTTCACTGACATATTATGGCCCCAGTCACACGGGCCGAATATCGCGGGGGGGAGGCGTGGCTGCTTGTCCCGCAGCGAAATAACACGCGACTGCGCGATCAGGCGTTCCCTCGTGGTCCCGTCGAGGTCCCATAGTTAGGGGGGAGGTGCCGATCACACGACGTGCCAAAGAAGCAGCGCGGCATGGCAAACGGGGGTGTGTTGTTTGTTTTTTAACCTGAAGTATGTGCATGCCCCGTTGGGTGCTTGTGCGCATCCCTGGAGACTTCGGGGGGGGGGAACCTTTTCACAATGGGGCATGAGTGGGTGCCAGATGTCACTGGAAATGTGATCAGACGCCTGCCCTTGCCCCGCGGTTTCCGGAAACTAGTACCTCCGAGGTACTAGTTTTTAACCGCGCATCTTCGGAGGGAAGCCTTGGGTTCGCCACGGGAGCTCTACGCTTCCCAGAAGTGGCGGTGAGATCGCGCCCGGAAAATCCGTCTATCTTCCGTTGCAGTAGCGTGGCTACTGCTCCGTGTGACTGCAGCCTATTTAAGTCTACATAAATTAAATAAATCTCCACCAGTTAAGACGCAAGGCAAAAGCCATAGCTCTAAAGAAAAGAGCATCCCTCTTTCTTTAAGAAGAGCCATCCCCACTTTCTCTCCCACTTCAGAAAGAGTGCTATCATTTTCAACACAGCTACTGAACAGTTCATTAAATCCTTCCCAACAAAGAACATTCTCTCTACAGTTCTTACGGTTACTTGCATTTGCGTCTCAGTAGGCATCATCTCGGAAGAAGTATCGCAACTCCTCTTCCACTGAAGAGGGAACTTGGTGCCTAGAGTTCTTATAATTAAAGCTGGTATAATGAAATTTATTAAAGCACTTAAAATTATGTTGCCTGATGAGTGAAGAGGCACCTTGTTAGTGGATCAAAATATTCCTTCATCAATTAATCCAACTGATTAATTGACTAGACGTTTCAGGCCCCTTACAGATACATTCAGAAGCTGACACGGGACCTTCCCCAGTGGCCGAGTGCCCTCAGCAGCTCCGAGGAGGGAGCCAGCTGAGCCGGTGGGTGTGTTGCTCTCAATAGTGGGAGCGGCCGCATGGAGGGGAAATCAAAAGGTCACTGCCTCTTTGACCTTGGATGCAGGGAGGGGGAATGTGCCAATATCCCTTTGCTAAATCTACTGGAACAAAGCCCTGGGCTTTTGGCTAGCTTGCCAGAATGACTTGAGAAATGCATTTAATCTCTCAAAGTCGCCGAGACCCAAATCAAGCTTGTAGAGTTTGGGAACTGAAACAAAGAAGCAACATGAAAGGCTTGAACTCTTCTCATTGCTCTGAACACCGCCACAGCCCAAAGCACAGCGGGTTTGGTTGGTGGGTTCCAAAAGGCCTGCTTTTGCCAATAAGAAGGAACATCTGATCTTTTGGACACTTCCCAAGTTCTCTGGCCCTCTGGATGCCAATGGAATGAAGCCCATGGAAATGGTTCTCCCCCCCCCCCCCCGGTTGAAGTGGGGGAAGAGCCAGCACACTCTTCTCGTGTGCTTTAGTCCTGTACAACCAGGGCTATTTTTGGGCAGGAACGCACAGGAACGGAGTTCCGGCTGGCTCCCAAGTTGGCCACGCCCAGCAGGAACTCATAAGCATAATAGGCCACACCCAACAGCAGGAACTCATTAGGATTGGCGACATTAGAGGGTGTGTGGCCTAACATGCAAAGGAGTTCCTGCTACAAAAAAGGCCCTGGGTTTTGACCACAAACAAGGTAAACAGAATAACAAGCAAAAGGTGGGTGTGGCTGGATGAGCACACTTCTGGTAACATGGGGGTGCGGCCTAATGTGCTAATTAGCTGTGCTGTCGGGGGTGTGGCCTAATATGCTAATGAGTGTCTGCTGTTGGGTGTGGTCTATTATGCTAATGAGTTCCTGCTAAGCTTTTTCTACAAAAAGAGCCCTGTAAAGTACAACCAAGATGTCATCTGTGCAGGGACTGTTAGCAAAGTTCTTTCTGCTCCCTCTGCTGGTCACGCTTTCCTTTCTGCGTTCTAACTACAGGTTCAGATTTACCTCAAGAACTTATTCAGGTCCCCATGCTTCATGTACTCAAAGACCATGATGAGAGGGTCTCCATCGCCACAGACACCGTAGAACTTTACAATGTGGTCGTGCTGCAGGTTGGTGAGAAGTTCTGCCTCTCTTTGGAAGTCCTTCCGGGCAGCCAGAGTTGGGTCCTTCAAAGCCTGAAGGAGAGACAATGAGGAGAACACACTGAAAAATGGGACAGAGACAGCCATTTTCTTCTCCAGATGCTTTCCTCTCCTTGAGACCCATTTCCTTATTCCCCCTCCAACCTATGTCTTCATTACCACCTAATGGTCCCCTGCCCCATACCTGCTTGTTATTGGTGGATGCAGATGACCATTTCTTTGTGTAAAGTGCTGTCAAATTGCAGTCAACTTATGACAACCCCTCATGGCATTTCAAGGCAAAAGATGAACAGAGATGGTTTGCCATTTCCTGACTCTGTGTAGTAACCCTAGACTTCTTTGGTGGTCTCCCATCCAAGTACTAATTAGGGAGAAGGAGGAGGAGGAGGAGGATAATTTGTACCCCGCCCTTCACTAGGTGAAGAGTGGCTTACAGCCCCTTCCTCTCCCAACAGACACTCAAATGTGAGGTAGGTGGGGCTGAGTGAGAGAACTGCTTTTGAGAGAACAGCTCTGAAAGAACTGTGACTGATCCAAGGTCACCCAACTGGCTGCATGTGGAGGAGTAAGGAATCAAACCCGGTTCTCCCAGATTAGAGCCTGCCAGTTTTAACCACTGCACCAAACATATATGATGAGATTGGGTTACCCTGGGCCATATGACTGATTTATCCTGGTACGAAGAGGTAGGTTGGTCATCAGATCTTAGAAGCAGGATCAGTGCTTGGAAGGGAGACCCCCAAGGAAGATTCTGCAGAGGAAGGCAATGGCAAACCACCTCTGCTTCTCATTTGCCTTGAAATCTCCCCACTGGGGTCTCTATAAATTGGCTACAGCTGGACAACACTTTACACACACATGAACACATGAACACATGCTAAAATTACTCGATCTAAATAAAAAATAATTTACCATTTATTTAATTAATTCAATATTTATACCCTGTTTTTTCTCCCCAATGGAGACTCAAACCAGCTTATAACATCAATCGCCCATCCTCCAATTTGTCCTCACAGCAATCCTGTGAGGTAGGTTAGGTTGACAGAGCAATCTCCCATGACAGTGTGAGGATGTGACCTGGGTCTCCCAGATCCTAGTCTGACACTGTAACCACTACACCGTGCTGCCTCTTGCATCATGCTGGCTCAGAGATGAGATTTCTTCTGGTGAACTGAAGTATGGCTCCTTCTCTTAACCACTGTGCTGTACCAGCTTCTTAATTCAACTAACACAATGAGCGGAAGTCTCTTGGGTCCACAAATTCAGATATGAGTGTTTTGATAAATAAGGAAGGTTAGAGATAAGTGTGCTCAGTTCATTTCAGGGTATCAAGACAGACAATGCCAAATGACTGACAAGCATGGAAAAGCTTTTGTGGACATCCTACTCACACCGTATTGCAGTGAGATTTCCCCCAACTCATTTCTGATGGAGCAGCAGACAATCCACAAAGGGTAATCGCTTCCACTCATTTCTAGTCCAGTCAGGACCCAAACCCCATGAACTCAAGGGCAAAAGTCTCTGTTTCTCATTATTACGACTTTCCAGAACCAGCCCTGCCTTCTATTTGGGAAGAGCTGACTTGGCTGCCTTTATTCAAAAGATGTATTTACTGGACTGCTGCTGATATGTTTTGCTGGGGTGGCAGTTGTGGCTCCTTTCACAGAGGGCTCTACAAAAGGGGCGGAGCCAGTGAAGTGTCTGCACCTCGTAATTTTTTTTAAAAATCCTCTTTTCATTCCCTGTGGTATAGAACACTTTCCGGAGAGGCTGGGAGTGAAATTGGCACCTTTATTGAAAATGCCTTCTCAGACACTCTGTGGGTTTGCTATGATTGGGTAATTTTCTCAATTGCATGCACAGGATTATTACTTGATCGGATTTTTTATAAATGAAGTGGAAAGCATATTATACTCTGTTTCCTTGTGAAGACGGGGCTTTGAACAAAAGCCGGCATGGATTTGAGCCGCACATTTTGTGTCTGAATCCTGGTGTCAAATATTAAGCCAATAGTCTTTGAATATATTGATGAGATCCAGAGTTGTACAGTACTTATAGTGTTGAACTAGAAGGTCTGAGCTCAAATGTGCACATTGCCATGAAGTTCACTAGGTAACCTTTGGCCAGCCACTGGGGCTTGAACCTATAACTCTTCATTCGGCGTCTATTTATTTATTTTATTTTATTTATTTATATCTTTGATTTCTACCCCGCTCCAACCCTGAAGGGTCTCTGAGCGGTTTACAAGTTTTGGATTTACAAGTTCCGAATTTATCCCTAACTAAGGCCACATGTCTACAGGGGTTGGACCTGCCTCCCGGCACCCAGGTGGCAGGGCTCGCTATTTCTTGGTTGTTCTTCCCGGGCGGTCTTTTGGTGTCAGTGTCCGGCGTCTGGCATCTGGCGTGGCCGTTTTGGTCTGGTGGCTTCTTCTTTCTTTGTTTGGCGGGCCCGTCTTAGTGTGTGGGTCGTATCGACTTACAGCCCAGCTAATGTCCGTTGCGGCTCCGCTGCGCTTGCGTCACGTCACCACGTCCTTCTGTGGCTCCGCCTCTGTCTCCGCCTCCATCACTCCACTTGCCTCGCTCTGCCGCTTCAATGTTACGCCACTCCACCGCCACCGCCATTTCCACCGTCACCGCCGCCGCTATCGCTTCCAGTGCTCCTGCCACACACCCCTGTACGGAGAGGGTGCCCCCTGCCACCTAAAGGCAGGTACTCATTAATCTACTCGCTTATATTTATTGCTTTCGAACCGCTGGGTGGGAGGGAGCTGGGACTAGGGCCAGGAGCTCACCCCGGCCGCAGTGGGTCTCGAACAGCTGTAACAGCTGTTCACTGATGTTACCAGCAGGCGTTTTACCACCGCATCCGCACACCATTGGATAGTGTGCCGTCGTTGCATGATAGCAATAATTTGAAAATTGTATTTTTCTGTGTGGACAGGCCATAGCAGGTGCAGTTAGGGTTGCCAACCCCAGCTGGAGAAATTCCTGTAGATTTGGGGGCAGCCTCAGCCGGGGATGTGATGTCACTCTAGGATTCCCATTTCATGCAGACTCTATGGTATAACATAGACTCTGCCCTCCAAAGCTGCCACTTCCTCTTGGGAACTGATCTCTGTAGTCTGGATGTAACTCCAGGAGAACTCCAGGCCCCACCTTGAGGTTGGTAACCCTAATTAAAATGATTGTTAGCATTCGTCAGTGTCCTGCTAGCTGGCATCCTCCGAGCAGGCACAACAATGCAATTTCCAGGCATCAGTTTTTGTAGAGCAATTCCAGGGCCAGGCGTCAAAATCCGGTTCCAAAGTTCAGGCACAAAGTAGATGACACTCACAGCTACAAATCCAAAGGGCAATCTGAGAGCAAGAATACAAAGGTACAAGGCTGGGTCAGAGATGTAGAGGGCAATCCAGAGGCAGCAAGGCCAGTCACCATCAGACGATCTGCTTCCTCGCTGCCACTCCCTTCTCTGTCGCTTTTAAGCACCACACTGCTCAGCAGCCTGTCTGGCGTCACGCACATGCCAACTGCCTCAGTCCTGCTCCTGCAAGCACTCATCCTCACTATTGGTGCTGGGCTGCCAGGTGAGCACTACACCGTCTGTCTTGCAGGTCTCTCCTCATTCCCCTTCCCAGGGCTCTGGTGATGGGTGTGAGTGTGTGAACTGACCAGCAATGGGCTCTCTGTTGCCAGCTCAGGCTGGGGGGGGGGGGCTGAGGGGCCAGTAGGCTGGTTCCCGGCTGAGGATCTATGTCTGGTTCCTCAGAGACTGCCTCCTCCTGCAGCGCTGCTGCCTCGGTGGGTTGGGGGTCAGGTCTGCTGGCTGATTCTTCCACAGAGCAGTCTTCAGCATCCCTTTGCTTTGCTGGGTTTGGCTGGTCCATGACAACCAGTAGCCAATAGTGTGTAGTTGTGGCCAAATGCTCTACACCCCACAAGAACCAGCCTCAAGTGCCCTGGGATCCCAAGGCTTGAATAGAGGTAGTGGAGATGGCCTAGGTAAAGGTTCCCTTGCTCGAAAGCCAGTCGAGTCCGACTCTAGGGTTGCGGTGCTCATCTCCGTTTCAAAGCCGAAGAGCCAGCGCTGTCCGAAGACGTTTCCGTGGTCATGTGGCCGGCATGACTAAACACCAAGGCGCACGGAACACTGTTACCTTCCCACCGAAGTGGTACCTATTTATCTACTTGCAATGTCTTGCTTTCGAACTCCTAGGTTGGCAGGAGCTGGAACTAAAGATGGGAGCTCACCCCGTCTTGCGGCACCCGGGTCTTGAACTGCTGAACTACTGACCTTCCACAGCCTGCAGTTCAGCGTCTTAACCCCTTGAGCCACCGCAGCTCCTTGGAGATGGCCTAGCCAACTGTTAGCTGCCCCAGATCAGCGGCCGCCTCTGGAACTCCCCTGGAGGGCTGGACGGGAGAGCAAAGAGCCCAACAACAGCCCGGGCAGGGAGCACCGGGGGCTGGTCACCACCAGGCAGGCAGCTGGCTGAGCCTGAGACATGGCTCGAGGCTGCCATCGGGCCCATGGGACCTGTAATGACCCACCTGTCTACAGCCAGATGCAGCAGCTGCTGGCACTTGGGAGGCAACTCTTGCAGGGTCGGGGTCCTGGGGCTAGGCTGCTCACCCAGGAGGGAGGCCCGCCCCCCAGGAGAAGCCACAGCAGCCTACCCAGCGCTTGCGGATTGGGAGGAGGTCTTTATAAGAGGGAGGACACGGGCCTATGAGGAAACGCCAGACCATTTCTAACCTAGTACTGAGGAAGGCTGGAGAGTAGAAGGAAGATCAGGGTGTTGAGAGAAACCCCCTGTCAGCTAGGCCTCTGTCGGTCCTGGCTGCCATGAGAACGGGGGGAGGCTATGGAATGTTGGGTTTCATTTCTGCTGTGACGTCAGTGTTTGAGCCAGTTTGGTGCAGTGGTTAAGTGCACGGACTCTAATCTGGGAGAACCGGGTTTGATTCCCCACTCCTCCACTTGCACCTGCCGGATGACCTTGGGCAAGCCATAGTTCTGGCACAGCTGTTCTCGAAAAAGAGCAGTTTCTGTCAGAGCTCTCTCAGCCCCCCACCTACCTCACAGGGTGTCTGTTGTGGGGAGGGGAAGGGAAAGGAGTTTGTAAGCCGCTCTGAGACTCCCTTGGGTAGTGAAGGGCAGAGTATAAATCCAATCTCCTCCTCTTCCTCTTCTTCTTCTTCTTCCATTATCTCTCTGTAACCTTGAATGTCTGGTGTAGCCTTTCTCTTGGGAAATGTAATTCGTTACTTTGGCGGACTCCTACCTGCAGCCTGAGTAACCATGGGCCAACCGGGAGCCCCCTTGAATGTTGTATAATTGCTTGCTTCGCGCCCTTCCCTTTAGTTCTAACACAAAATGGTTAAGATATCTGCATACTCTCTATGGCTCAATATACTTTACTTCTTTGAATGAAAGCTGTTGGGAGCTGATTGCTGCAGGAGTCTGACACCCCCTCTTGTCTCAAGTCAGAGGCTATAGGGCTATTCTGAACTGGAACAAGGAGATGTGAGAGTGTGGGGCATTGACCTCTCTTGTAAACAGGTGATTGCAAGAATTAGAGCCTTGTTGGTGGTGACTCAAATGTTGTGGAGTTTCCTGCCTATGGAAACCCACTGAGTGGTCTTCCCTTAGATACCCAGGAGACTAGTGCAGATGCGTGTAAAGACTTTCGTAGGGCTGGCTAAGTGTGGTTATGGTTAATTTGATGTTTGTGTGTGTTTGCTGGTCTATTTCTGACTGATCTGTTTCCAACATTGCAATTGGTTATGCTACATGAAGTGTCTCGAGGATCTTTTTGAACCAAATAATGGGACAGAATTTTTTTAAAAAGTAAATCCTTGACTGTCCTCCAAAGTATCACATGTGAATAAAACTGGAATGGAAAGCAGAAAGCCTTTTAGGAAGACCTGCTTCAGATTGAATCCATATTATTTGACGTGTCTTCAGAAGTTTGTTTTGATTGAGTTAGACTTTGAAGGAGAATCAAGTTATGTCAACTCTCAGTTCTTTGCTGCGCCACTAAGTGCAATCAGATGAAACTACATGTGATGGCAGAGAGAGATATATTTATTCTTCTCTTCATAAACCAGGCAGATTTTACTCTAAGAATATCAGAATACTGGCCTCACCTCGCTATCATACACCCATGCAAGGCAGTGCATAATTTCCTTTTGATTCCCTACCCTCAGGGGATCGCCTGACCGGAGATATTTAGATGGATGGCAGTACACCGTGCAGATGGCAAAGCATTCATCCTCATCTTTGGGCACTTAATTACTTTTAGGTATTTAATATCTTCATGATGTTGATGTTATATCTCATGAGTGCCATCGTTCTCCTCCCTCTTTCTTCTGATTTTTTTCTACCCTCCTCTCTTCACTGCAGGGCTGAACCAGGAAAACTTGCCTCGCTCATTTGGGTGAGCATCGAAAAGTCCCTTCTTGGCACCGCTGGCTTCCCCTGCAAACACGCCTGCTGATGTCCATGCTGCTCTCTTGAGCACTGACTTCACTTTGGAATGCCATCGGATACTGCAGCCAGGAGCCAGTGTGGCGTAGTGGCTAAACTGCTGGACTAGGACCAGCGAGACCAGGGTTCAGATCCCCATTTATTGAGTGAGCCTGGACCAGTCATTTCTGCTAAGAGTAGCCTACTTCACAGGGTTGTGAGGAAAAGAGTGAAGGAGAGTTAACCATGTACGGCATCCTTTGTTTCCTGGAGGAAGGGTAGGATAAATATACCAGCACATAAAATCCCCATTTTATTTCTCTAAACTGTGTTTTTTTGGCGCCATTTTTATCTTTGGCATCTTGGCCAAAGTTTTTCCCCACTCAGTGTATGCATTTGAACATTAGTGGTGCGTGTCAGTAGCATCAGAGGTCATAAACATGTAATTAAACATGTGGTACTCACTCCATGGCTCACAGAGAGCCATTCACAATCACCATCAATCAAAAGAGCCAGGTGGCTGATGCCCGTCCTGCCCTGACCCCACCAAATACCCACACCCAGTAATGTTAGAATACATCCATTAATAGTACGTAAGCAAGTGCCATCAGGTTACAACCAATTTATGACAACCACAGCCAGGGGCTTTCAAGGCAAGAGAGAATCAAAGGCGGTTTGCCATGGCCTTCTTCTGAAGAGCCTTCCTTGGTTGTCTCTTATCTGAGTACCGGCCCTGATCAGCTTCCAAGATCTGATGAGACCCAGGTATATCTTTCCCACGATTAATATTACATAACTATAAATAAAACCAAATACATTTTCAATGCAATAAAATGAAATTCCACTAAAGTATTTGTTGCATGCATAGAACCCAAATCAGAAGAATGGAGGTAGCATTTAAAAGAGGCACACATGGTTCTACAGCCATGGAATGAGTACCACTGTCATAAAATAAACCCCACAAAGGAAACAGCTCCAATGGATAAGGCCCACATCAGCAATGGACAGAAATGAACAAGGGCACATATGTGCACTCTGACTCTTCTTCCTCATTTTCCTTCAACATGAAACATGATGGGCCGTGGTGACCCATGTGTCTTTTGTTATTTTAAGTAAGGAATGACCCAATGCTACATCTGCGATGGATGTCATTGATGCCCATAAACAAAAGCATGTGCTTTGCCACGGCTCATTGCACTAACCAAGGGGTTACATCAAACATGTAATTTCCACCTGTGCTAGAGCTCTTGCACAAGTGGGAACACTGAAGAAATTGCTAGTGCTACATAAAACTTATTGTGTACCCCCTCCTGTATTGCCACTTGTGCGAGATCTTGCATGATCAATTTCTGGGCACGATAATATAGAGGAAGGACAGGGCTATGTGTTGCAGAAGATGTCACACACAAGCAGAAATACGTGAAGTCGGTTTATGTTTCCGTTTGTACGTTGCTTGATCCAAACCAAATTGCAGGGGCAAAGAAGACTGACTGGCCACTCCTATTCAGGTGAAGTAAATCCCAATGTATCCAGTAGGGCTTACTCCCAGGTAAGAGTGCTCAGCCTTGCCGTCTTCCTGGAATGATCAGCCTCAGCTGCTCAGTGCAGATGTCCTTGGTATTTACCTTGACAGCCACTAGCATCTTGTCCTTGGTGGGACTGAGGTTGTAGCACTCCGCCAGGAACACCTTCCCAAAAGCACCTTCGCCCAGCTCCCTCTTCAGAATGATGTCTCTCCTCTTAATGTACTGCACATCTGCAGGTGGCAGGGTGTAGGAGGGGAGGGGAAGCATGAATGAGTGCCAAGGAGAACAAATAATTTCATTTCTATCATATAACAGGCTCTCATTAATTTTCATTGAATAAAGAAAGATGGCTCACCTTTTCTCCCCCCCCTTTTCCATTGTCTTTGCAATGTTTATTCATCACAGGGAGGCAGGGGGCTTTGCTAGCCACCTGTCAAACAGTTTTCAATATTGTGGACATCCTATCTGGTAAAGATGTCCAGTCCACCTTTGTAAGCTTTGCATTTCATAAGCACTTCATTGAGTGTAGAGCTAAAGTGTTGAATCAGGGCTGGAGAGACTCGGGTTCAAAGCTTTTCTTCACCATGATACTCTATCTGTGGCACTGTGTCAGTGACCAGCAACCACCTCACAGGGCTGTTGTGAAGCTAAAAGGGAAGGGTGATTTCAGAGGCAGTTAGACTTAGAGGACTGATTCAGGCAGCCCTTGGCACAGGAAGAGTAACTTCCATCAAAGTAAAGCTGGAGGAAAGCTTCAGATTCTACTGAGCAGAGCAGTAGGATACAATCCACTGCTTATATCTATCTATTTAAAAAGTCCCCTTACCACGAAATTCGGGGAGAGCACTTCTACCATAATGTAGATGCTCACTAAGAAGGGAGTTTTAGAAACCTGACCCCTAAGGGTCAAAAGAGGTAAAATGTGCTACCCCATTGATTCCTTTGTGGCTGCCAGGCTGCTGCCTCCTTGCACCCCCCACTCTCTGATTGGTCAGCTGCAGAGCTCAGTGTTCTGAGGTTAAAAAAACCCCAGTTATAGGAGATTGCAGAGAGCTAATGACAGCTGAGGAAATCAGGAATGGCCAACAACGACCTGTGAGGTGCTGGCCCAGCCTCCCTGATGGCTTCAAACATGCCCCCCATCTCCTACACCTGTCAGGTGCAGCAGTGGGTGCAGGGTGCTTAAAGCCATCAGAGAGCCTGCCCCAGCAGTAACGCCTTAGTAATCCTGCCGGCCCAGCCTCCACAGTGGCTTCTAAAATCCTCCCCCTCCCACACTGGACAGGCAGCTGTCCACCAGAGGAGGTGGGATGCTTACAGTCATCAGGGAGTCTTGCTCAGCAGGATTGCCTTAGCACTGCTGCTGGCCCAGCCTCACTGATGCCTTTAAACACACTCCCCCCAACACCAGACAGGCAGGTGTCTGTCAGGTGTAGGAGCAGGGCTAGGGTACTTTAATCCATCAGGGAGGCCACCCAAGCAGAAACACCTTTGCAATCCTGCTGGGCCAGCCTCCCCAGTAGCTTTAGACACACGCCCTCCCACCCCTCCTCCACCTGGCAGGTAGTTGTCTCTAAGGTGCAGGAGCAGAGCATTGAAAGCCATCAGGGAGGCTGCCCAAACAGCATCTCCTTAGCAATCCTGCTGGCCCAGCTTCTCCAATGCCTTCAGACATGCTACCCCTCCTACAGCTGACAGACAACTGCCTGTCAAGGGTTGGAAGGGATGCAGAGTCCTTAAATTGATTGTTATTTATATTTATAACCTATGTTTATATAAGTTTTAATTGTATTTGTGTGAAATTTTGTGTAAGCTGCCCTGAGCCTGCCTTTGAAGGGAGGATGGGGCATAAATTGAATATATATTATGGGTTCTAGAAAATTGGTTCACATGAACTTGCTCAATATCTGATTGCTCAAATGTTGTTTTGAATACGCAGTTATGTCCCAGTTCTTACATGTAACATAAATGAGAAGCATTTTTGGTTTTTTTTTAAGTTTGCCCCGCCACCCCCCCCCCCCGCCAATGCCCAGGCTAAACTCCTGCAACAAGAAACCCAAAAATAAGGGGAGTGCATTCCTACCATGACATCAACCCCCACTACAAAGAGATTTTTGAGAAACACAACCCCTAAGGGGTTAAAAAGGGGGCAAAATGTGTTCCCCGAATTGTTTTTCATGTGCCTGGCAGGCTGCTGCCTCCCGCCCCCCCATTGGTCAACTGTGTAATGCAGCGTTCTGAGGTAAAACCTGCCTGCTTCGCACCCACCTCCCTCTGATTGCTCAGCTGTGGATCTCAATGTTCTGAGGTAAAAACACAGTTAAAAGAGACTGCAGACAGTTGAGGACAGTTACAGAAATCAGCGATTCAAGACTCTTGAATAGACATTTCTCATAACAGCCAGGATGGTAATTGAGTTTATGAATGTTCATGGGGAGATAGTAAAGGACCTTTCTAGGAGCCTGCTCCAGAGTGAGCTCACCAGGCAGCCTGGTGATGCCAGCACCTGAGGGCATTACCACCCCTGTGGTCATCCAATTTTAAGGAGAAATGGACCCCATTCATGGAATATATCTCAGCTTCGGATTCTCAACCTCAAAACTCTTTATACTTAAAATTACTAGACTCCTAAACTTTACCTCTTTGACCATACTGCAATGCCTAGTTGTGACATTGTTTTGATATAATTTAATGGGACACAAGTTATTACTTCTTTGCATCGGCTCATTTTTATATTTAAATAAACACAAGGGTTACAGGTACCACATTGAGCTTGTTGACAACAAAGTAAAATTACTAGTACTATATTGGTTTGCAAACTATGTATGCTGTCTATGCTGTTCTGTAAGTTTTATACTACTGACTATAACTTTTGAGAAAAAACTAATAAAATAATTATTAAAAAAAAGAGAGAGGTCCTTTGGTAGAGAGGAAAAAAACACGTATGTATGTCTCACTTCATCCTTTACACTACTGTCCTCTCCATTAGAATTTCTACAACAAATGTTAGCTTTCAAACTTCACATCATCAGTATCGTAAGTGGATTTACGGAATTTAAATGCTGCAGCAAAGCATGGGTATCAGGTTTAATGTTCCCTCTAAGCTGTGGAGTCTTGTGAGCAAAAATTCTACTTTGTGAGTGACTGGCATTAAAGTTGTGAGCAGGTGATTTGGCTGCTGCATAAATTAGTTTGCTCTGGAGCCGTCCTTCCTGAGCTAAGGCAAAAATACTTGAGCCAGAGGCTAAAGAACTGTGGGCTGGCTCACACTAACTCAGCTTAGAGGGAACACTGATCAGGTTAGTAGTATATAAAAAATATCAAGCTCGATGTGTATCTGCAGCCATATTCTTTTTGCACAGCGTTTGACTGGTGCACACGAGCTGCTGACCCCCACGCTTTGAAAAGAAAATCTTTGGCTGCAAGCACATCAGTGCCACCGTAAAATGGAGATAGGGAGAATGCTGTAATGGGGAATTTGGGTCTGGAGTGGGGAGAAAGGTGGGATATAAATGCAATAAATAAATCAGCTTCCTTGTCAGCAGTGCAAACATGCCTATCACTAAGGAGGGGGGCTGGTTTGAAGGAACTAGAAGTACAAGAGGCGGGACCTGCGATACTCGCGGGGGGAGGGGGAGTATTCCTCACAGCTCCCAGTCTGCAGAAGCAGGAGTAGCGGCAGCGGGTGAGCCCAGCCTTCTCCCTCCCCCCAGTGGTGGCAGCGAGGCGCGCCTGCCAAGCTTTCTCCCTTCCCCCTCCCCAGCGGTGGCAGCGGTGAGGCCAGCCCACCAAGCTTTCTCCTTCACCCCTCCCTCCCCAGCAGCAGCAGCGGTGGCAAGGCTAGCCCACCAAGCCTTCTCCCGCCCCCCATCCCCTGTGGTGGCGGTGGTGGTGAAGCCTTCTCAGAGCGTTCCCTGCGCATGTACAGGGAACGCTCCTTTACTTTTGGGGGGATTTAAGTATCCCCCTATAGGGTTTTTTTTTTTTACAGTTTTTAGATTTTTCTGCACCTCTGGGGATTGCCCCAAATGTGCAGGAAAATCTCCTTGCTCCCCAGGTACCCCTGATGTGCGGATTTAGATATCCGCACGCGGGGGGCACCTTGGCTATTAGATATATAGATGTCTAGCTGCACAAAACCCACATGCTACAAAATTTGGAGCTGTGAAATGGAACAATGAAGAACTCTTAATTCATCTGTTCCATATGGAAACAAGACCCGGGTCATTTGGAACTTCCAAATCCAGGAACATTTTTGGAAACCATCTCTGGTTGTATACAGAATTCAGGTCTGTGAAGTGCCTGACTCTTCCCCATTCTTGGAACCCCAGTGAGGCAAGAGAAGAAACTAGCAAATTACTCCCTCCCCAGGTGGGCCGGAAGGTGTTCAAACCTGACGTGGAGCACAGGAAACCATCCAGGGAGAAAAACAACCAACTTATAGAGGCCTAGAATAGCAAAGTATTTTTTAAAAAATGCAATCAAAATCATCTCATTTTTCCTCGGGGGGGGGGGGAAGGTGAAAGCACATCTTAACTGATGAGAAAGTCAAAGGTCTGGAAATGGAAAACAGACTAATGGCTCTCAAACAATTAAGCCTGCTAATTAGAAGATGGTCGGCTGGCACAGAAACTCGGAAGTCTAGACCTCTTTGCTTGGGAAGAGAGATGCAACAAGCTATGCTCGTGAGGAATGATGCCTCTCCAGATAATTCTCATCAGCCTTTTCTTTAATTGTTTAATGGACATGTCTTACTGATATTGACACGGCACATATCCAGCAGTGAAGCTCCACTGATGGAATGGCGTTTCCGTTGGCCAAAGAAGCTAGAGTGACGTCCACCAATCCCTCCCTTCCACAAATTAGGACCTATGTTGTAGCTGAGCATCTAAAGAGGTGTGTGTGTGTGGGGGGGTGCTCAGTGGGCTGCTACAGGAGGAAGAAGTGGGGATGTCCTGCTCCACCAAGTCTGAAGATAGCTGGATAATGCAGTTATTAGTAACACAAAGACATAAGGTGAAAGCATGCATGACACTTGCGGGGGGGGGGGGCTCTGACTTTCAGCTTTGATTATGAACAGTGTATTTCCTCCCCCATGAAAGACCACCTGGCCCTCTGAGGGACAGCCAGGAGATGAAGGCAGGCAGGCAGGCAAAGTACTGGCTGCATTCAGTTGTCATGACAAGCCTGTGTTTGTTACGGGCGTGAACACACCTTGTGTGCTGTACCT